CTATGGTACTTTTGTAACCAGTGACTGCTACATCCTGGCTGCGATGGCAGTGGACCGATACGTGGCCATCTGTAACCCACTGCACTACCCAACTGTCATGTCTCGGAGACACTGCATTCAGCTGCTGCTGGGTTCATACTTCATGGGTTTCCTGAATGCCTCTGTAAACACAGGTTTTACTTTCTCATTGAACTTTTGCAAATCCAATGCAATTAACCACTTCTTCTGTGATGTACCCCCAATCCTTGCCCTGTCATGCTCCAGTATCCACGTCAACATCATGGTACTGACTGTCTTTGTGGGGTTTAACTTGACATTCACTGTGCTGGTCGTCATCTTTTCCTACACATGCATCCTGGCTGCCATCCTGAGGATATCTTCTGCAGCAGGCAGGAAGAAAGCCTTCTCCACATGTGCCTCCCACCTGACAGCAGTCACCATTTTCTATGGGACTCTCTTGTACATGTATGTACACCATGGGACCAATAGATCTCAAGAGCAAGAAAAAGTGGCATCTGTGTTTTATGGTATCATAATTCCCATGTCAAACCCTCTCATCTACAGCCTGAGAAACCAGGATGTGATAAAAGCCCTAAAACACATAAGAAATAAGACCTTCTAGCTTGAAACATGATTTCTATGTCAGCAGGATCCAACAAGAAGGCCAAAGGGCTCTTACTATTCCATCAAGTGATGAGGCAAATGTTTCTGACATAAAAATATATTCCTTAATTATCAATAATAACTAAAAGATGCCAAAAATCAATTGATTACATAATTGAATTTCTAATAATATGTTTCCTAGAAAACAGCCATCTGAAAATAAGTAATGAGTTTTTGCTATTGCCTTTGTACACTTTGATGAGCCTCTTGATATATCTGGCATTAAATTAATTAAAGAGAACATAATCAATGCTATATCAATGCCTCTTCAGTTGCACTATGAAGATTCATCTAGGGAAAAACCTGTTTGGTTTTTATGAAGCACTTGCCTTCTCTTCTCTTTTGGTCTTGTCTTCAGAATAAAAATAACTCTTGTTTTTCTCTCAATATCTATCTTATTATTATGATGTCAATTTTAGAGGGCATTTCTTCAGATAATATGTACCTACAGAAGAGTCGGACCAAGAGGACAATAGGGTAGATCATCACACATATGATGATCTATCTATTTTCTTAACAAATTAGGAAACTGACACTGAAGTCAGGAAAACCTGGTATATGTCAGCATTATCATTGTTAAAATGTACCTTGAATCTTCAACTCTCTTCCACTATCGGTGTATGTCTTAGGAAAACAAAATCCAATGCAGAGGAGACTCATTGCCCAAACTCCAAAATTGAGAACAGATACAAGAATCCAGGATTAAATCTGGAAGTCAAGTATGCACTTGTTAGAGTCTGTAAACAAGTCAGGATGGTGCCTGGCAAATGTTAGAGTCTGTAAGCAAGTCTGGATGGCGCCTGGCATTTTGCAGAGGGAGTGGTTTGTGAAGTGGCGCCAGAGAGCCATTAAGTGTGGAGATTTCTTATTGGTTGACTGCTGTATCTAGTTTATGCTAATTAAGATAAGCTGTGTGGAATGTATAAATATCCCTCCGCTCCTACAATAAACGGCTTCTACTCCTGCTTTATCAATGTACACAAGTTGTTCGTGGCCCCCCCTCAGAACATGGTATTCTCAACAGCTGGAGGAAAAACGAAAGGATTAAGCACACACTCATCCTATTTACAGGAAATATAAATTAAAAGGCTGAGAACCCTTGTTGCAATTCTGTTTTGGTATTTTCTATGGTTAGTTAAACCACAGGGAGGTGTCAGTGGGGTCATTGTTCACCACCTTTCCCAATGTTTCCAGAAAGTTCACTGAGATAGAAACAGTGGGTTGTCAACCAACCATCACCCAAATGTGCCAAGGGAATTCAAATGGTTCCCAACCATGAAGCAGGGTGCATCACAGTAGAGAAGTCTCCAGATTAGTTAAGTCTGGTCTCACATGATGATGCTGGTCTCCTGTCCATCTGTCCCCCAGGTGAGAGGAATCTTAATGCTTCTCTGAAATGTAAGTAAATCTCTAAAAATGAAGTACAAGTTTGATCTTTTCCATGCTGGACCATCCTCATGGAGGGAACATCAGGAAGTTTTCCCATCCTGATAGTCTCCTAATACAATTGTTCTTAGAGATAATGGCTGCCAATGCCCTTGCTCAGAGGAACTGGACTGCTCAGAGGTGGGAAAGATTCTTAGTCAATTTCTGTTCCAAATTAGTTATTTTCAACATTTATAAACTAGAAATACATTAAATAAAGTACAAAAGTAAGGCAATAGTTATAGCAAATTAACCTGTTCCAGCCTATGACAGACCACATTAAGAAAAAGTTTATTTTATAGAAAAAATAATTAGATATAATTAATGAAATTGATCAAGTTCATATTTAGGGACTTTAGTTTGTTTTAAAAAGCATGGATTAAACCATGTCTAGAGTTAACAAGTTCAGGTTTTTTTTTTTTTAACTTCTGCAACACATGCTTAGAAATTAGGCCTTATCATAGGAGGCATTAGGGAGGGTATTTGCAGTTTAATATGAACTTTGCTAAATGAGACCGAGTATGGATTAGGGGAAGAGGGAATTTCTCTAGGTTTCTGCCACTTTGAAAGTTAAAAATCATGTAAGCCAGCCTTTGGTTGAATAAAGTTTGCAAATATCTCTAAGAATTTACAAAACCATTTTAGAAGCTACATTTTAAGCTACAGTGTTCAAACAAAATTTATGACTCTACAAATACTAGAATTAATAAGCACAAATAGGATAAAATAATTAAGCCTACCTTTCAAAAGATGATAAAATTATTGTAAGTTGAGAAGAATTTTTTTTATTTTACATAAACTTAGCTTATAATCACTATTTTTAAATGATACAACTCATAAATCTAAGACCTCATTCTTTGCAGCAAAAACAAAATGTGGGATTTTTTTTCTTTTCATTTTATTGTTTGCTATCTTTTAAGGAAAAATAATGCTTGGGGAAGCAGGAAATACAGAAAGGAGGGATAGTTAGCTTCACAGTACGGAAACAAATTAGAGAGCCTGGTGGAAGATGATTTTCTGTCAGAAAGTATTGATCACCAAAAGTTATACAGAAGATACAAAATAGCAACTACTATGCCATCATAAGGAAAGAAGGAATTGATTACAATTCAGCAGCTACAGCACCTATCTGTGGGCCTGAAAGTTATCATGGACCAGAAAACACTGACGTAAGGTGACCCCATGTAGGGCACGGCTGAAGAAGGACGGCTTCACGGTAATTTACGTGAAGCAAGCTAACAAAGCTCAAAAACTAGCCCAGTGCCACTCACAGACGTTAATATAAAATCACGAAATAACCATAGCGGCACAAAAATAATGGAAGCACAGTGAAAAGAAAATTGTCTCAAAACTAGCCACTCAAAGCAGGAGTTCTTCCATAGGACCACAGAATACTTGAGTATTAGAAAATCTACTATAATAGTTCCTTCAAGAGATGTCTGCGCCCCTGTGTTTATTGCAGTATTACTCACAGTAGCCAGGACATCAAACAACGTAAAGTCCACCAAGGGGTAAGTGCATGAAGAAAATGGGGCACAAGCACCCCTCCACACACATATACGCACAATGGAACATTATTCAGTCTTTAAAAAGAAGGAGATCAACCATTCCTGACAATATAGGCAAACCTGCCGAACAATATCTGAATGAAATAACTCCAACACAAAAGACACTGCCTTTGCCTTCTCTGAGCAAAGGCATTTACAGCCGTTATGTTTAAGAATAATTGCTTTGTGAATGGGAACCACTTGGGTTCACTGGGTACATTTGGGTGATGATTGGTTGACAACCCCATTGTTACGGTCTCAGTGAACTTCCGGGAAACACTGGGAAAGGTGACGAACAATGTCTCTTATCCATGATCCCACTGACGCCTCCCTGTGGTTTAACTGGCCAAAGAAATACCAGAACAGAATTACCAGGAGAGCTGTCAGCCTTTTACTTTACACTTCCTGTACACTATAGGAGGGTGTGTGTGCTTGATCCTTCTTTTCTTAGTCCCCAGCTGTTGAGAATACCATGTTCTGAGTGCATACTTGACTTCTGGATTTAAGCTTGAACTCTCTCTCTCTCTCCTCATTGTTTTTGAAGACTGGGTGATATAAAGCATCAAGATTTGGGTAAATGAATCTGCTCTGCACTAGGTTTTGTTATCCTAAGAAGCACAGCTTTCATCACAAAGCTAGAGAAAGCCAGCTAGAGATTCAAGTGGCACTTATCAATCGTACAGCCAATATGCACCGGATCTTCCTGACACCGATGTCAATTTCTGATTTTGTTAGGAAACCAGGAGGGCATGAATATCAAATGCCTTGATATCTGTGAGGATTTCCCTGTTTCCCTGTCTGCTCCCACTCTTGTTTCCTGTACCTATTATCCAAAGAAACAGCCTTTAACATTTTTGTTTCAAATAAAAGCCTAGATAGCTAGAGAGAAATAGCAGGAGTTATTTTTCATTTTAAAGCAGGGATATACTTCTTTTTCTTATGTTTCTCTTAGTGTATTATACATGATGGTTGGATTTATTTGGACATAATCATATAGGCATGGAAGTGAATTTGCTCCATTTCAGTCCCCAGTGCTTCCCCCTTCCCTTCTATCCTCTTATTCCCCTTCCTCTTACTCTATGGGTTATTTACTTATTGATAATCAGTGCATTATAGATACACATAAAGGTGGAATTCACCTGGGTGTATTTATACAAGTATATAGCCTAATTTTGTCAAATTTATTCCACATTTCTTCTCCTTTCCCAACTCTCTTTATCCCCCTTTAATCTAAGAGGAGATGTGTTTTCCTAGAGGAAAAGTGGAATAAAGTCAATGAAGCTCTTATTTCCTATGTGTTTTAGGGCTTTCATCACATCCTGGTCTCTCAGGCTGTAGATGAGGGAGTTTGACATGGGAATTATGATACCATAAAACACAGATGTCACTTTTTTCTTGCTCTTGAGATCTATTGGTCCCATGGTGTACATACATGTACAAGAGAGTCCCATAGAAACTAGTGACTGCTGTCAGGTGGGAGGCACATGTAGAGAAGGCTTTCTTCCTGCCTGCTGCAGAAGATATCCTCAGGATGGCAGCCAGGATGCATGTGTAGGAAAAGATGACGACCAGCACAGTGAATGTCAAGTTAAACCCCACAAAGACAGTCAGTACCATGATGTTGATGCAGATACTGGAACATGACAGGGCAAGGATTGGGGATACATCACAGAAGAAGTGATTAATTGCATTGGATTTGCAAAAGTTCAATGAGAAAGTAAAACCTGTGTTTACAGAGGCATTCAGGAAACCCATGAAGTATGAACCCAGCAGCAGCTGAATGCAGCGCCTCCGAGACATGACAGTTGGGTAGTGCAGTGGGTTACAGATGGCCACGTATCGGTCCACTGCCATCGCAGCCAGGATGTAGCAGTCACTGGTTACAAAAGTACCATAGACCAGCAATTGCACCAGACATCCTGTGAAGGAGATGGATTGTTTGTTGCACAGGAAATTCTGCAGCATCTTGGGAGTGATAGCAGAGGCA